TGGATTGTCTTACTTAAAAGCATATTAAAACGACTTTATTCCCAATGATCACAGCAAATATAGCTCCAAGGCAAAGAAAGGATAGAGTAGCTCCGCCCAACGCGCATCAGACCCACTTTTACAGCCGCGCAGCCAGAGCAGCAAAGCGCTTTAGCCCCGCGTCAGAACTAACTGGTACAATCTAAACTGCAGGCAGTTAATTTATGCGTCAATAAACAGTTTCAGAGGAGTGATCACAGCGCTCTGTGTCATCAGTGATGTGTCTGTCTCACGGCCAGCTCCCAGGTTTGATTAATACTTTGTAATAAATACATGAATAAAGCACAAACATACTCAGTTTTGCTCCCGCTCTATTTTTAAATACGTACTAGAGGTATTTAAACGAAGCAGAGGATATGTACCTGTATATAAAACCCGCGCCCTATAATACGGTGCGCCTTATGTGTGTGTTAAATACAGAAATGGCACACATAACTGAGACTGCGCCTTTTAGTACAGTGCGCCTTATGGTCATGAAAATACGGTAGGTCACAGTCCTTACTCGATGCTTGCAGGACAAATATAGCCAACTATCATCAGCATAGCGGGGAAAGTATACACCAAGCGGTCTGACAATTGTACTTTTTCTCTCTCTAAATATATACATTTTCTATATCTATATATATATATATATATATATATATATATATATATATATATGTGTATATAGAACCTTGTGGTTCTCCGCAAATAACCCTGGAGTTTGAAAAAAAATTATTTTAAACACAAACTGCAATCAGATGAACTAATAGGACTTAACCAGCCTAATGCCACTGCCTTAATTCCTGCAGCATGTTTAACCCTTTACTAGAGAACATTGTAATTGATTGTATCAGCTGCAGCATGGAGATCTAACAGTACAATTACAGACTAGTGTTGCGGGATGCCATTTTTTGGCCCCGATACCGATATCAGATACCTGCCTGTGTGCAGTACAGGGCTGTGCAGTATCAGCCAATACCGATACCCTCTGTTTGAAAATGATGTGTGTTTGAATATATGAAGAACTGCATACTACTTGGATGTCAATAATTGCCATCATGGCTTTGTCAAGCTGCTGCCTACGTTTGTGAAGCAGGAAAAAGACTAATAAAAAGTAAATCCAGTAGAACTTTATATTGCCTACCTGGAAGGGGTGACAATAGTTGAATAAACTTTTCTGGTTCTCAAAAGGTTATCGGTGTCCTATTTGTTGGTACTCGCCGATACTGATACCATCATTTTAGTGCTGGATCGGGGCCCCTCCTAATACTGGTACCGGTATCGGTGCAACACTAGTACAGACACAAGTTCATCATCTGAGGCCATTAAAATAACAATACTTAGCCAGTTATGTAAGCTAAAACAGGTTGGGCTCACTTTGGAGTACCCTTCATATCTGTTTTAAAAATCTAAAGAGTAACAGGGATGATTGTTGTTACAGTGTGGGTTGTCCATGAGCCCATCTGAGCTGTTTGTTGTTTTTTGACTAATTAAAAGCTATATTAACTTATGGTTGGCTGGATTTCTTTTTCCTTTTTTGTATGAATGAGAGTGTAAGTGTCTTTTTATTTTCTTCTCAGTAGAAAAGCCTCATTGTTGATTCATTTCAACACATAAAATGGGACAGTTTTTGCCCCACATCAGCATTTGTCCTCTTCAGTTTAAGTATTATGATTTTTTTGGTTAATGTAATAACTTTTATGTGCTAAGGTCAGTTTTAGGATTGCTGATACAGTTCATATATCCAGATGATTAGTTAATCCAAGCAAAAGGGCAAATTAAATGCTTCCCTGGGCCCATGGATCATCAGGTGCCTCTCATAAATGCTTGAGTTTTAACTCTAGAAATTATTTTTTTCTATTTATTTTGAATGAGAAGACAAATTAATTTAATATAAATTCCAGCACTGATTAAAACTGAACGTGACTTTATCACAGCGACTGTCCTCCTGTTTATCACTAACTTCGTTCCCCTTTTCTGTCTGAACTGAAAGATTACATTTTATTTGTCTATTCAAAGTGTAATCAGGATCAAATCTATACATCTCTTAACAAGTATCCTTTGTTTGTACCTTTCAAAAGGAGAAAAAAGTCAGTTTGTAGTCCAGGGCTCCCTGAAACATAACCAGATCATTATTGTTGAACACAGACTTCCTTGCAGTATAATTCATGTTAACTTAAAGCAAAGAAAAGCAACCTGAAACAAGAAGGATTCTCACTTTATCTGTAATTAGTTGGATGTTGTGCTTCTGTCTCACCACCCTCAGCGCCCAGAGAAAGCAGCACAGAATAATTGCTTTCTGTAGGTGTTTTATTGTAACTTTGTTACTGAGAGGAGAAAAGTAATTACTTAGATTACACCATTAAAGGAACAATATGACCTTACAATCTTTGTTTCTAACAGTTATCATGTAATGCTGTTACTTTACACACTGAACCTGACAAATATTAAGTATTTTCTTTACACTGGTGGTATTTAAAAATAATTAGTAGGAAAACTCTCTTTATTTTCTACTAAAGCTGATTTTCTCTTACATTAAACACTCAGGAATAGCACACAAACAATCATACATGTAAAGGGGAAGATGTTGGAATCAATTACGAAATGCAGAATTAAACACATGATGCAGTAATTCCCTGTCAGGCATTAGTGTCCTGAAGCTGCCTACAGGTTTATTCCAACTTTCTGATTTGGGGTTTCAGTTCAATTAGGGACCTTGCATCTTCTCCAGGATAACATTTAATACCATTTTGCTTGGATTAAGCCACCTCTGACATCTGGGACGTGTGTGTCCTTCTCCAAAAATCATGCTATGAAAGCAAAGTGATCAAAGCTGGTTCTCTTTGGGTCTCATATATACTCAGAAATACCAGAGTCTGGCTCTTGATTAGTTAGCTGGATTTCTGGGTGTGAGTGAAAAAAAAAAAATCAAACATGGATAACAGGAAGAGGAGTGAAAGAGATCTTCTCTAATGTACCCTGTGATCTCCACTCCTATATTTGTAGAAATCAGTGATATGTTTGTATAGCCTGTTTTACTTCCTTTAAGGTTTCTCTAGGTTTTGATTTTTGTCTCACTTTATTGATTCAAATTAAATTTATTGAAAACAAAGAATGCAATAAGAAAAAGTCCAAACTGGAAAATGTATTCCCCTTTAGTTCAATTACATTTTTTTTAAACCATAGTTGTTGGTTCAACCTCACAGCATCTTGACCTGATTTCTATCAAATCTGTAGAAAATATGAATAAACTTAAACATAACCTAGTCTGAAAACATTTAGTGGATTAAAATATCTAATAAAAGCAACACATTAAAGGCATGATCCAGAGAAAGGACATCAAATGTAATTTTATATTCGGCGACTGCATCCAGTCTTTAAAAAGGCAGCTGTATGAATGAATGTTTTAATTATTTAATTTTATGATTTTAGTTACATAAAGCATAATACTTTGTCATAAAATTATCTTTTATTTTAGGTTTGAAAACATATGCAACAACTCATTATAGGCTGCTTAGAACCTGTGTAACCAGTGCACTACAGTAATACTTATAACCACTACACGTGTATGTATAAACACTTAAAATATGATTGATTATTGGAAAAACAATAGTATTAAACTTATATTTGGTGATTCTGCTTGGCTTCAGTTAATTTGGGTCTTTATTTTATGACATGATATGCCTTTTTAGACCTTTAGGGGGATCAGATTTGTCCTACAGTCTTAAGTTTGACACGATATTTGGAGAAAAACGTGATGATGAAGTGATGATTCTTATTGTGAAAGGGTATCCTACAAAAATAATTCAAAAGAACATCAAGAAGAAATTCAGATAATAAAGCAAACAAGGAAAACTACATCTAAGTTGATGTCTGCGTGTGTGGTTTAAAAAAATGGTGTCCATGAGGGAGTTTTAAGGCAAAAAAATAATCCACAACTCTGAGGACAATATTTTGCGAGCTGATCAGACTTAAGGCTGCTTTACTGATTACTGCCGGATCATGATGGATCCTTTATTACTCTGAAGTCTACCTCTGATAGGCTAAACAAAAAGAAAAGTAAAATATCAGAAAGCATGTCTTTAGCTGCTAATTATTTCCCAACATAAGGGTTGTTGGAAGGTTTGCTATATTTCTTATAATAAAAACATTTTATTATATCTGTTTACCTCTTGGTCCTGGGACCTGCATGTTTAGGATATGAGGTATTAATAATATTAAATCAAGATGGTTTCCTCATTTTGCAACACATACTGTGTCTTCATGTCTTTCTAAGTCTCCAATTAAACCACTAGTCTGTAACTAGTGAGTCTTACCACATGGGTGTTTGTGTTGGAGTCTGATTTCCTCCGAGAAGCGATCTGATCTCTGCACAGCTTGACCAAGATAAACAGTCCCCTCACTGGTCTATTATTTTTATTAGATTTAAATTATTCTGGGATATGTGTCTGAAGTTGCTCTATGTTTAAGGAGAGCACCTTCATATCTCATATTGTTTAATCTGAATCAACAACATGCAGTAAGTGAGACCTTCTGTCATGTTTCACCCATTTAGTGGGAGAAAAGAAAACGGAGGAATGTTCAGTGATGAGGCTTGAGAAAATATTTTGTCATGCAGGTAAGAAAACTGGAGAATGTCTTCTGTCCTAAAAAGTGTGTTATTGTGCTTTTTATTTTTATCCAGTGACCTGCACAGGAATGAGTATTTGACCAAGATGGACAGTCGGGCTTTTGCAGGAGCCATCAGTGGCCCCACACTTCTGTGAGTAAGCTTCAGAAAATCAACTATTTATCAGAATTTGAGCTACCATTACATGTCAGTGGGAAGCAATTTGGGTGGGAAAGAATTAGTCCAGTAAGCTTTTTTATATTAAATACACTTTTTTTTTATTATCAATTATTGACTAAATTATTAATTGATAAATTGTTACCTGGTTAGCAGCTAATAATAATAAATTATGTTTTTCGCTACTCTGATGTTTATTTCCATACAAAAATAATGGTTTGGCAGCAGGCAGGTCAGAATTCAACTGAATTAAAAATGTAATCAGGCCCAAATCAGTCTACTAACCAGAGCAGAGCAATATATTAAAATCCTTAAACTATTGACATTTCTTTTTAAGAAATATAAGATGTTACCATATTGTCATATGGTAACATCATACTGACATCGCCTACTGGTAATGTGTTTTTTTTCAACATTTTTTTATTATTTACAGCTGTTTGTTAAAAGAAATTGGCCCGTTTGATGTTTTCGGACAAAGCTTTGATTAAGAGGTGCTGATTTTTATAAGAATTTTATAAAAAGAAAAGATAACGAGATTAATACTGTACCGTATGTATATCCACTCAGCTTACAATATATCGCCCAGTCTAAACTAGCAACTTCCATTCTATTTGTAAGTTGTGTAATTGCCAACAATCATCTCAGTCTAACCTTGACTCAGCAAGAAGAAGATATGGTATAATGCAACAGATAATCTGTTGATATGGTCACTCTGGTCTCATCATAACTGCTGCAACCTGGGAGGGAGTTTTTCCTCTCCACCTTCGCTGCATGTGTGCTTAGTGTGAGGGATTGCTGAAGAGTCAATGATCATCTAGGAGGAGCATGTCTTAAAAGGCAATAAATATGTTTATATGGATACAGATAATCAAATTGAAGGCCTGATCAAATCAAAAATGAATAACGTAAACGTGTCAGACGGAAGATTATAATGCAATTTGGTCCGACTGCACAAGAAATTTGATTCTGAATGACAGAGGTGTTTTTTCCGATCGGCATTTTGATTGGTGTTCATGTACATACCTGTTCTGATCTTTGGAGTAAAATCATCTCCTTTGCGCATCTGTGCAACATCAGCACAATGTTTTCCTCTTTACTGACCCTCACTTACTTGCTGCTGGTCCTCCTTGGTGGAGGAGGTGGCTCTACATTTAATGTGTGGATAAACATTACGGATACCCCTGATCTGTTGACACCAACCATAAACAAAAGTATGATGAGACAAAGGTCCACTACTACTAAAATGTTTCCAGAAAACTAGACAGTTCTGCTCACACTCACATGATTTGATCTGATCAAAAAGCTTGGTACATCTACTAAACACACATGTTATTAACAGATAATTTATTAAGTGTTCATGTAAACAGATATTTTAAAATTCCAATCAACCAAGATATAGTTTGGATCAGAGGAATGTTGTGCATGTAAACAAAGCTATTGACTCGATGCAATCAGCTGGTTTTCCTTGATAAAAAAACTTTCAACCAATCTGATTAACTTGTCTCTCTCTTAAGCGCTTTGAGATGATGTGCTGTGTTGTGAATTGGCGCTATATAAATAAACTCAAATTAACTGAATTGAATTAAACTATAGGAGAAAGCTGCAGGGCTGTAAATCTGGTGGTAAGATAACTGTCAATGAAAACATGTGTTGGTGTCTGAGTTTGTAAAAATAATTCAATAAATCTGAATACATTTAAGAATTGTATTCATTACTGGTTGTGACATCAGGTAACAGCAGATGTTTAATCTGTGAATATACAAGTTTAGAACGTAGTTGCTTTTTGTATCTCTGCTTCTGTCTCTTTGAAACCTGGTCAGTCTCGGCAGAAGGCCGCTCACACTGAACCTGGTTCCTCTTAAAGTTTCTTCCTGTTAAAAGGGAGTTTTTCCTCTCCACAGTCGCTACAATCATGCTTAGTGTGAGGGATTGCACTCAAGTCAATGAGCCGATGCAATCAACTGGTTTTCCTTAGATAGATATTTTTGAATCAATTTGATTGTATGATCTAGTTGGATCGTAGAGGGCCATGAGATGACATATGTTTTGATTTGGCGCTATATAAATAAACTGAATTGAATTGAATGTCCCAGGTATACAATAAGTGACAACAAGAATAAATACAGATCTTACATTCATGTTTTTGGACTTAAAAATTCGGTTCAGTTATCTTATCCCATAAACATGTCTTGTTTTTTCCAACTTCCATCACACTTTTCTATGTACAAGGTAGGCGTTAGTCGTCACAAATATGCCACCAATGGTTAATAAACATGGTTTCAGACATTCTAAGATATTATTGCCAAAAAACATTGTTAGGAAAAAGAATTAGTCGACCAAAAATAAGTATTTCTAACCTTTGTGCCTATTTTAAAACTATACTCCTGAGAAAATAACACATTTATAATATGTTTGTTTTATAAGCACATATTTTAGAAGTTAAAAATGTAGAAAGAAATGTTTAATCATCTCAAATTAAGCGATTGTGGCAAACCTTTTAAGCTGAGTGAAACAGTAACCAATAGCTCTAGTCTGGTAATTATTCACACTGTTTCAAGTTACTGTGAAAATTCAAAACAAAGTCCTCATTCATGATGTGCAGACTAGATGAGTGATGTCTGCAGGACAGGATCAAGTAGAGACCTTTCTCCCTGCAGCTGTGGTGGTGGGACAGGGGAACCTGACACGCATTGTGTGCAAATGTGGTGAAGAATCTCTGGGACAGCGTTGCTGTTATTTTTGATATTCCTTCCTATCAAAGCGTCTTTGATGACAAATCCTCTCAGCTGTAGCCACCTTTTATCATATTTAGTAAATATATTTAACTGCAGGTTTTTTACCTCTGTCCCACAGAGGAACATGTCCTTAGTGAGGTCACCTCCATGAGGTCATGAGTTAAACATCTGGAAATGACAAAATCAGACCTACACTAGAATCTGTACTGCCTCACAGAATGAGCCCCGTGAGAGGAAAGGAGAGCAGAGGACAGAGAAGTGTTTGTGCGGGGGTGGGATGGAGGGGGGATACAAAAGGACAAATTCTTTTCAAATATGGAGCTATGGTTCTTATTTTATCAAATTAATGATTAAGAGGGGTTAGGGGATCTAAAGAAAACAAAAGAGAACTCCGCTGGTTGTGGGACTACACAGGATGTTGGTGCAGTTGCCAACCCTGCATGTCCTCTGTCCCACTGAGGTTGGCCTGGCTTTGGCATGATCGCTCAATAAATACCAAATTTAATTACTTAAAGATGATGGACTGAGGAATTCACGGGAGGAAACAGATGGAAAGTATTGTTTAGGCTATCAGTGAGCTTTCTGGACTTATCACACCCCCCATTCTACGTGGTGACGGATCGCACCAAAGTCACCTTTAGAATCATTTCACTTATTATATAATTTTTTATTAAAAACCCAACTAAATAAATCTTAAACTAAACATTATTTATTTCACCCTTCTTTCATTATAAACATCAAGCTCTTTACTTTTATGCAAACCCTCACATCTCACGTCACATACCATGGTCTCTGATTTCCAACCGAACAGCTACATTTTTCTCTCTTCTTACCCTAAAACTTTAGGTTGACTTTTGAATATCTGTTTAGTTGAATATATCAGTCATGCATCTCTACCTTGATCTGTCCTCAAAAGAAACCGACCTCTTTTAACAGAGATTTTGTCGCAACCTCTGTGTGAGATTAAAGCCTTTTACTGTCTTTTCATGTCGCAGCAAAACAGTCACCACCACTATGCTTCACTGTCTAATACCATGTGCTTTGGTCAGAAAGCAAATGAAATTCTCCGACTTAAAACTTTAAGCTGTCCATGTTGATATCTGCCATTTTT